TTTTTTTGTTTTAGTATTTTGAAGTTGACCAATTGTTACTATAAGCAATTAATGATTATAGATGATCTGCACCGTAGTGACACGGCAAATGTTAAATTTTTTTGTGTTAATTAATAAGATATAAAGTTTGAAAAATGGTCCAAAAAACCAAATCGCTAATATGTGGAACAAGAGATATTAATATTAATATTGTACTAGTATTTGAAACAGGGGCACTAAATGATGTTTCAAATATGTAGTACAGAGTATTTAATCAAATCTTAATGTTAACAGATCGTTAATCCTAAAAAAAATCACTTCGAATTGTTTCTTTCCTGCAACAATCATATTAATTCATTCCTGTTAACTAAGTATAATCATTCAATTCATAATGAAAAACTAAAGTTAGTATCAATTCTCATCATTGCAATATTTAGCAAATTTGCCTTTGCTATAGATAGAGCCCTTGGGATGGAGGAGACGAATTATTTGATAATTTTCGGGATGGAAAAGGTTACATTGAAGTATTCTCAAACCACTCATTTTTTATGGAAAGGGCTGTTTGCCCACCCGGATATTTTGAATGTCCAGGGACAAATTTATGTTGTACCAAAAAATGTGGTGTAGTTTGCGATAGTCATTGTTGCGAGGTAGGTTACTTTTGTTGCAAATATGGTTGTTGTCCATCGGGCTATCAATGTTGCGGAAACGGTACATGCTGTAAGATAGGCCAAGTTTGCGCCGGTGTTGGTTTTTGTAAAGAGGCAATGATATCAACATCAATATTAACATCAACACAGACAATGACGTCGACATCAATTTCTACATCAATGTCAACATCAGCACCACAGGAAACAAATGATTATACAGACTTTGAATTTGACAGCAATACACAAAATCTTATCAAAAAAGATAATAATAAGTGTTTTTGTTTAAATTCTGAGAAACTCAAGGGTGATGGTGATAGTTATTGAAAAACTGCGGAAGAAGCACCCTTTGCATATAGGCTTCATTGCAATAATGAAATGGAGCAAGTGACAGTAGATGAAATCAGAAATTCAGAAGGCAAAATCAGTGCAGCTTGTATCAAGCTGACCATGTTTTCGAGGCACAAATTTTCACAAATTTCCTTAATAAAGATGAATATCTTAATAGCTTGGAAGAAGTTGTTCAACAATCAATATGTGTAGAAGTTAAATTAATACTCAGTGATTTCAAAAAAATTATTAATAATGTTGACTAACCTGCGATTTCTTTCTACACCAATTAACAGAGCCAAAGGGGCCTTAATAAGAGGTGGGAATTTAGGAAAAGATTTAGTGTATGAAGATCCAGTAATACAATCTCTAGCTTTTGAAGATGTCAACATCGCATTTTCCAAGACTCGTATAGAAATAATCAATGTTTTTCGTGAGCTTCTAAACAAAGTAAATGATTCAAACAAGATAGATGTTGAGAGAATTATAAATTCCTTTAGTGATTTCTCACGCTCTAAATACGAAACCTTGACAAACAAGGCATTATCGGACAAATCCATTAACAACTCCTGCTCAACCTTGCAGTTACCACCTTCCTGTGATATTGTCCATGATCTTAAGTCTCGTGTTCTTGTCGGTAAATTGTAGTGTCGGTGGAGTGAGTGTCGGTAAAGTGGGTGCCGGTAAATGGGGTAAACCCAGTTTATTTTCTGAGGCATGTTCATATTCCAATTTGAATTCTAATTTAATTTTAATGGATAATGGATCTTTTCTTATTTGTAATTATTTAGTACACAAATTTGTTTTCAAGTATTTTTATATAATCTGCTTTAAAAAGCACGGTTCGAATTTACATGTTTGACCACTTGATCTTTTCCGGTCCTGTTCTTGATGTTGTATGTAGCACAGGACATTAGTGCGTATTATGGCCTAGGGATGTCTATCGAAGTCAAAATTTCAACCGAAAATTGAAAGCCTAAATTGAAACATACTGTACATAGTATGAAATTTTTTTTTAAATTGATAATTAATTAATTATTTAAGAAAATCTAAGACAAATTTATCAAGGTTACTTTATTTTTTTGTTGACTGCTGACAATAAATTCCACATGAGGAATTATCTTCATCTTATGTGGCAGTTATTTGAATTAAAAATATGAGATTAATTATTTAATTATATTATATTTGAATATGTTTGCATAATTTCATAATTCTAAATAACATGTTATGGTTTTTGATTTTTCGGTTTAGGTTTCGAAATTATGAAGGCTCGAAAGTACTTCCGAAAAGGGTGTTTTGGTAGACATCCCTAGCATATGTAATTAATATATTTATAAAATTTACCAAAAAAAAGTTGTATCTTCTTCATCAAAAAAAAAATAGAATAGTGAAATTAAGAAGGATTAGAATAAATATGATGATATACGTGGTGACTGAGAATTTTTTTTAAAAAAAAGGATCTATAAGAATTTAAAGTTGTGCGATTTTTCGAATTTTTTTCTAAATGTAAAATCTTTTTTTTTTTACCGACAACTTGGGGGTTACATTTAACCTCCACATAATCAAACTATCAATAAAATGCTAAAACGGCGCGCCGCGTGTTGTCGGTAAAATGACTGTCGGTAAATGATTGTCGGTAAAAGTATATCCTTCTTTTCCTTTTAAAGAAAATGCTATTAGAAAAAAATAATGAATGGAACACTCCGATAGGACATATCTTTATTATTATTATAATTTCCTTTCAGTCAAAAATGAAACGATGAAATTTCAAAATAAATCGAAGTTTTATTTTGTTGTTTTTAAAAAAATAAAAAATTCAATTTAAAAAAATGGAAAAACATCAATATGATCATTTTTATAACCAAAATCAAGTTGGTCAAAGTCATTTTTTTACCAATAATCAAAATTTTGGAGGCAATAATCAAATTCCTGAAAGCAATAATTTCAATCATCAAAGCAACCAGAACCTTCACGGAAATAATTACACCAACCAAAACTTCGGCTGTAATAATCCCATTCATCAAAACTATGATAATTTCAGTACAAATTATGGCCTAAACTCAACCTACAACGATATGTTTAACCAGAAACCAACCATTATTGCTACTACTACGAACGTTAATAATCCAAATAATCCATTTATTGTCGGAGAACATTTCTATCAAAATGACTATTGTAATTGTAATCAAAATGTCACCATTGATCAAAACAGCAAGAAACTACTTTTTTTCATGGCATCTCAAATTCAAAATCTTCAAAATACCATAAATCAATTGTTAGATAACATTAGCAATAATGATAGATAAATTAAATCATCGATTTATTTTCACATTTTTTATTATACTTTATATTAATCAGCAATCAATAAAATAAAAATTTTAAAATTCACTTCTATGTTTGGTCAAGAAAAAAAAAATGGAACGTATTGTTGGTCTGAAATTTCAAAATTCCAAGGGAAAATTTTGCTATGCAAATTAGTGCGTCTTCTTGACCAAAAAGTTCTACGTGAAAGTTGCATATTATTAACTCAAAATTGCTTTTCCCCCAGTATGGGCCTTTCCTAATGTATTTTTTGAAATACGATGATATCTGTTATATATACTGCGTATCCAAAATTTATAGACATAATATGATATATGCACACATACAATATATAATCTAACGCTATGATATATGCATTATCAAATAATTCAAAACAATTCAAAACAATTCAAAACAATTCAAAACAATTCAAATGTTTAAGAAAGATAAATAAACTACGTAACAAAAAAAAATCCATACAATTGCTATATTAATCCAGATCTATTTATCTAGTTGGGCGTCTGTAGACTTGAATTTAATATTGAGTTTATCTGATCGTGATATATTAATTAGTGCTGGTTTCCAAAAATAGGGAGCTTCGCAACCGTGCGAAAGTAAAAAGGGTTTTACCATAAGTCGAAACTAGTTTTGGTTTAGTTTTACATATATAACTTTTAATTTTAGTTTTGACTTTCATCTCTTCAAAATAGTTTTGGCGACCAACACTAATGTTAATCCAAAAAAACAAGACCACATTAATTGAAAGATAATATTTCTGCCAATGTTATTGGATTAATGAACATTTGTATAATATCATTGATTACCAACATTTTTCGTTGTTGCCAAATCAAAGATCTAGAAGAATGAAAAATTAAATTTAACAAGTTTCCAAATTGTCTCTCTATAATGTCCTTTTGGAAAAATATAATCATTTTACCTTTAATTTCGGAGTAGGAGGTACCCTGATAAACAGAAGGTGGTTACATTGTAGGAAGACATACTAAATACATATTTGCACACTGTCGTACATCAGGGATAGTCAATGGGATGGATGTTTGCTTTACAAATTAATTTCATATTAGCATTTATATATTGCATTTTATAAGCTATTACTCATTTATTAAGAGGGTAATAACTATGGCAATTATCCATCATTACATCATAATAATAATAGAGATTATTTATTATTGTAATGGTAAACAGTTTGCTTGTTACGTATGAAATACGATCGTAATTACCAAAATTTTAATGGAAAACCCATTTTTGACTAAAATTAATACGTAAAAAAATAGTTGAACATATAAAATAATGAATAATAATCTTTTGAAATTACTCCCGAATTTTTCTCTAGCTAATAAACATAACCGAATCATTATCAATGCCATTGTCTACAATTGAGCTAGCTGGATACCAAACCAAATGAGCATCCAAATGCTAAAAAAAAATTTAATATTATAAGGCATATGGAAGATCCTACCCATTAGAATCAATTAAAGAATTAACAATTACTGCAAAAATTCATCCAAAATTTACAACCTGTGAATTCCAAAAACAATGATAATTATTGGTAATTATAATTGTGATAATCATTAACATTTTAATGGGTGACTATTTTTATATTTTATATATATTAATCATATTAATATTCATTCTTGTAATAAATATTTTTTTTTAGGATGACTAGATCTATTATAATTGTTTGATTTTTATTTCACACTATATTATAAATAACTTTTAAATAAATCTTTATGTGCCTAATTATATTATCAACTAAAAAATCTAATGAATTTTCATTTACTTGTTATAAAACTGGATATTTTTATAATCTATTATGCAGCATAAAGATTGAATAACTTTAGATACTATTGTAATGTAATGTTACTATTTCAGATAGTTCGCTGAAAAATTTAATGAGGGACCTAAACCTTTATAAATAGATTTAGAAATTACAAAAATATCAAGATTTAGGATTTTTAAAATAAAATCATTATAATTGTTCTGTTATTGGCTGAAAATAACTACGAGTCAATGAAATTCAAATTGAATTGAATCATTTATATGATCTCATAATATAGTTTAATAGAATTTGTTATTGCATGTAAATTTTAAATCCATATATGTGAAAATTTAAATTAACCAATTGAAAAGTCTATATTTTAATTATAAATGTTAACTTCACATACAACGATACCCGTTTGTTAAATAAACTTTATAAATAATATTAAAGTAATGGGATATTAATCAACCAATATACAATATCTTTTGTATTATGATTTTTATATTTCACTCTTTACATTGGACAATAGTTCAACTGTAATAAATAGTTCTTTAATCCTAAAATAAATTAAAAATTAAAAAGATTTTTTTTAAAATTATAAGAAAAATGACCATATTTGTATAGTTAATTAATTGTTTGTCTTCATACTCTTTTCCTGTTAAAGCTTTTTGGAAGCAAATTATATCTCCATTTTGTATTTCAGATTGACAAAATGTTGATTCTGGATTCATTTCTATTATCATATTTGGTTTAATTTCCTAATAATTATTAGTAATAGTAATAAATATATCAATTCATAATTTTGTCAATTATAAACATAATACAGTGAATAGCACATACTTCATATAGATTTAGTCGAGTATTTGGCGGAAGATCCTTTTTTTCACACAAAATTGGATAAATGTCACCAACTTTACCAGATTTTTCTACATAAAGAGAACCAAGACATCTATATGATACATGCATATAAAGATAATAAAAAATTACCAAAATAATTAAATGCATTCAAGAAAAATCGTATCCATCACTCATACTCTAAAGTTTGTGCATGGAAATCAAAAAATTTTAGAAACACTATAAATTTTTCATTTGTTGTGGGAAACCAAACCTAATCAATGGATTTAAAAGAGTCATTTTTGTATTCATTAGAATATATTAATGAAAATATGGGTAAAAAATATGCAAATAAAAAAAGACTTACTTCGTCATCTAATGGTTTATTTGCAATCTCCAAATAAAATCTAGGTTTACTACGGTGTGGTGTAAATTTATCACAAATTTCAACCATTGCTAATGTATAATGACCAAAAAAATTTAATAATCGACACATAAAGGTTATTAAAATTATTAAAAAAAGAAATCATACTTAAATTAAAATTGTCAGGTGATATTAATTCATGAGGTCTGAGAGTTTTATTTTGTCTATTGACATATTCCCAAAACCGAATTTGTTGAGGTTGTTTTTCATATTTGGCTGCTACGATCTCTTTAAAATCATTAAATGTATCAGTTTCAAGAACATTTATCACAGGAAGATCTGATATAGAATATTGTTGATCATAAAAATTGGCAAGATCAAATCCTTTGTGTTCTCTAAAAGTATCATCAGTAACAAGCTTTTTTTAAAAAAAATTATTAATAAGTTATGCAAATAACTATATATAGTTTCCAAATTAATAAAGAAAAATTACTTTATACCATAACTTGCATGTGCAAATCGTTTTCCTCGACTTCTTTTTCCATTTTTTCATAAAGTCTTTTTACTCCTTCAAAGTTTTGTCTTTCTATTTTGATTTTTTGAAGGTATTATTCATTCATTATTCTTGATGTCTTGTATTTTCATTTTTATTATAAATATCACATTAAAATTAAAATTAGAGAGTCTTATTTTAAATTTCAATAAACCTTTTCCTGATCTTGATCCCATTTGAAGTAACAATCTTGGTTGCCATTTATCATCGAGATAGTATCCAAGAATTTCTTTATAAACCTCTTTATCAATAATTCTTCTAAACGGTGAAACACTATCAAAAAAAGCCTTTGAAGAAATTTGATCAAATCTTATTAGTGGAATAATATCTTCTAGTATATTTTTCAATTGATTGTAATCATCTTGATTCCACTCTGAAAAAACTTTACTCAATTCCTCCTCATTTTGCCAAATTCCCCATTGAATAATAAATGTCCATATTTCAATTTCATATAATTTCAAAATATCCTTCTTCAGTATAGTTATCAGCATCGATTTTTCCATAGTTACAAAGTCACTAGATTTTAATAATAATTCAGGATTTTCATCAATTAATTCACTGTAATAATCTTGAAGCAGGTTGAATGATTCATATTTTGATAAAAATTTATGAATTTTAATTAAATTAAGCTGAAACCAATCTTTTTTATTAACAAGTAAATGTTCTTGTAAGTGCTCGATTAATTCATCAAAGCATAGCTCATCACATGCTTCAAGTAGTTCAAGAATTTCATCTGGCATTAAATTATCAACATTAAAAATTCCATTGTAGATATATCTTTTTAAAGAAATAAAACCAAAAAATTTAATTAATTAATTAATTAATTATAATTTATATTAAAATAAATTAAAACTGAGTTGGATTAATCTTACGATAAAAGAATTTCAAATATTTTTGGTGAAATATTTTTTTTTTCAAATAAAATAATGCCATTAGATTTTTTTACCCAATTATTTGATAAAGCCGCTTTAAAATACAAAGACCTCGCTTTCAAGATATTGGAATGAGCATTAAAAGTTTTAATATCTTCACCACTTCCGACTCTAATTTCCATATCGTAAAAATCCGATCCGTTCAACAAGTTTGTTAAATCATTTACAAGTTTATTAATATGTTTTATCAATAAAGTATCTTTTTTGGATCTTGAAAGTTTTTTAATGTTTTCTAAAAATGAGGAGTCATAATTATTAGGCATTTTTAAGGTTTTATTATTATTATTATTTATTCAAAGGAACGACTAAAAATAACCACTGTTGTACAATTGTAGATCATATTTTATTTTCGTCCCAATTCTCCCTTATACAAAAAATGTATTTTTTGGATACTAAACTCTTTTTATCATCTGAATTATGTCGAGATATCATAAGTGTTATAAGTGTTAAATTTAAATATTGTATCATCTATTCTATAGAGCAACTAATTATCTTTCTCGGTCATAATCAGCGTGATTTTTTATAATAAGTTGAATTATTATTGTTGTTTCCATTTTTAGCTACAACTGATTCAATGGTTGTATTATTGTTGTTTTCGTGGAATTATGCTTCAAAACATACCATGAAGGATGCATATGTTTTTATGCCACATCATAAATGGTCTACGAGATGAACAATAATAATATAATGGAATGCGGGACTAGATACAGTAATTTTTGATACATTGTTAAGAACTCGCCTTAAAAACACTCGTACAAATTATAAATTGAAATTGAAAAATATTTTTTTTGATGACTATAAAACAGTAGCTTTTTTTTTTATCACTCACTCAAAATATAAACTTCTTGGAGAATAAAATAAATTATAAAGAATATTAGCCAAAAACCTATTCAAGTATTGAACTTGCATACCAGGTTGGTATGTTTAGTAGACTTGAGAAAAATGACATTTTATAGTTGACGAAAATTGCCTACCTATCATAGAATTATTTGAATGTAGCTCTTAATCGTAGAGATATTTGATATGCATTGTCTGATATCTCTCTCTCACTTTATGACGGTGAACACTACTTTACAATGGTAAAAGTAGATAAAGAAAATGTGATTTTTTATTTGTTTTTAATCATATTGATCATTTGGATTGAATAGTTTCATTTAATGAGAAAAAAGCCAGGTTACAAGTCAGATTTGTCGATTGAAAACCAAAAATATTACGAGTAAACAAAACTTATTTTGTTAACATATGAAGTATCTAATGTGTTGCAAAAAAATGCGCACAAAACTTTATATGGTATTTATAATAATAATAGTAAATAATGTTGTAATTCAGAACTCTAAGTTTAGGAAAAGCCGAAAATCTAGAACCAGATTGCCGAAACTAAAATTATATCAAGGGTAAAAGTTTAGTCTTAATATTGTCTTAGGTTATAGGTCTCGAGTTTCAAGTTATATAATATGATAGTATCGCTTGATCATAATAAATTTTAATTTTAACCATAAAATATTAGTATTTACTAATATGTTTCTTGAAGAAGATATACTATATAGGACAAATTTCCGATCATGTAATAATTGCCTAATACTAATCATGTTTAAAAGTGTTATTTATACATGGTATTTTTTCGTCATATTAATATCCTAATTTTATACATGTAGAGTATCATTTTATTTTAATAAAAAATCATTTGAAGATATATATAATTGTGTTATGGGTTATAAAAAAATTGAGATAATTGTCGTGGTAAATATACACTTCCTAGAACTTTGATTCTCAAAATTATGTATAATAAAAAAATTATTTTTTCAATTATACCCTTTTTGAGCTATAAAAACGAGAAGCCATAAAAATAAAACAGATTAGATATAAATTTAGATTTATAATATTTGATATCCACAGTTGCTCATTCATGAAAAAGTTACTTCTATAAATTCTATGCAAAAAAAGTTTTTATATATATATACTGTATGTAAATAATCCTAATTTAAAATTGCTAATTTTTCTTTGCTAACTTGTATACTGATAAAAAATATTATTAAATCGATAAAGACAATAAGGTTCATTATTAATACTGTTGTATAATTGTAAATCTTCAAAGTTTATGACAATTTCACAAAAACCTATATTATCATTATGAAATGTTGCAAGCTTAGGATATTTGACTCTACTTAATATAGAATTATCAAGTTGATTCTCATTAATTTTAAAAATAAAACTTTTATCAGTTTCAATCCAATATCCTTCATCTAAGGATTTTTCTTTTCTATTCCAATAAACTGGGTTATAGCCACCCACTAATTCACCTGTTTCTTTTAGTTTCATAAATACTACAGTTTGTTTAATGTTATAACATTTTTGTTCAAAAACTGATTTTGAAGAATTAATTCAAAATCATATGGAATGTCATTTTCACTATAATAGCCATTACTTTGATCAATCCAACCAGAAACCAGTAATTTCATTTTTGAGTTTAATAATTTTCCTTTCCTATTTCTTGTTCTTGGACCTTTATAATGAAGAAATCTAGGTTGCCATTTATCTGTAAAATAATATTGAAGAATTTCTTCATATATATTTTTATCAAAAATCTTTCTATAAGGTTTAACTTTCCCATAGAAATTTTCTTTGGATATTTCACCAAATCTTATTAATAAAATAATGTCTTTTAATATACTTTTCATCTTCTCAAAATCATTTTCATCCCATATTGAAATATCTTTTTTTAATAACCCACATTGTCCTATTCCCCATTGGAGACATGGTTCCTAATATCAACCTCATCTAATTTCAAATTATTACTTTCCAATATTGATACAAGCATTGGTTTTTCAATTTTTGCAATGTCATTGGATTTTAAAATTGAACCTGGATTTTCACAAATCAATTTATCACAAAAATCTTGAAGTGAACTAAGTTGATGTTTTGATGAAACTTTATGAACATAAATAAAATTTTGGTGGCACCATTCACTTTTTTCATTGATTAAATAATTTTGTAAATTATCAATTAATTCATTAAAGTTTGACTCATCACATGCTTCAATAAGTTCCAGAATTTGGTTTAAATCCAGGCTACCTATATTGAGAATTCCATTGTACATATACCTTTTAAAAATATAAATAATAATATGTAAAAAAAAAATTTCATTTAATAAATCAATTCTTTATTTATTTTTTATTAATATTAAAAACATAAGAAATTATTTTAGTAAGGATTTTTTGTTGTAACTCCAATTCTTTAAATTTAATATTATTTGCCAGTTGAAATTGTTCTATTTCAAAATCCAATTTAAGTTTCACTACTTCATTTTTTCTTTTTTGTATCTCATAAATTTTATCACTTCTCTCACTTTCCAATCTTAACTTCTCTCTCCAAATCCTTTCTTTACTTATTGCTAATTCTCTGATTGCCTTTGCAATTATTTTTGCTGGTAAATTGTTTTTTTTACTCTTAGACTTGTTACTGATTAAAGCAGGATCATTATTGCTATCAAAATATTGTCGTTTATTATTATTCTTGATATTTTGGATGCTAATTTTATCTCTTTCTTCAGGTTCTTGAACACTTTTTTGATTATCAACATCTAAAACAACCTGCACTCCTACCATCTCTACCTCATCATTACCAATCGTTTTTTGATCTTTACTTGACACAAGTTTATCATCATCATCACTATCATTATCATTATTGTTATCATTATTATGATTATGATTATTATCACCAAAAATTTCTTCTGCATATTTATACCATTTCCAATTATATTCCTTGTCATCATATTTTTTGAGCACAATTTGAATTTTTCTTTGAATTGCAGCAATACTTCTTGCCTTGATAACCTTCTCTTTATGTATTTTTCGACAAAATAATGATCTATTTACTTTAAACATTTCATAATAGATTTTTATGTAATTCAAAAGTATCAACATTTCTTCTTCATTCCAAGGTTTTTTCTTTTTATCCCCTTCCCTTACTTTACCACCACCTTCTTCTAATTTATCATCTGCATCTTGTTCCTGCTGTTCCAGTTGCTGTTCTGTGAAATTTGAAAAAGATCCTGTTTTCT